AACACCACTGATAAGACGTTTGTGTCTAAATCCGAGTCATGTACATTTCTGTGCTACTCACTTCTCCTATTTCTCTCTCCTATTCCATTTTATTTCTCTGTATTTCACTTACTCGCTTTTCTGTATTGAATAGCGACCAAATTTCGCCGCGTATCGTACCAATCAGCATTTTATACCAGCAAAAAGCTTCTACTCTCAGCTGGAAGTAGAATTGTGAATTGTAGTGCAATCCAACTCGACATTCATTGAAGCCAATCTTCCACACCCAGTCCTTATAATACTTGGAAACTTAAGAAGCCACCCACATCTTACCCACCCGCAATGTAATATCCTGTATCGTTCGCCCTGTGTGTGGCACATTCCAGGTCAATCATAATTTACTGGTTCAGTAACCATAACACATGGATGAGAGCATAAATCATAAATATGTCGTAGTGAACGTTGATTACTCTTAGTTTTTAGTTTTGTTAAAATGTTATCTGTAGGTATTCATACGTTCATCTGTTTGGTTTCTGAAACCATTCTGCAGATATTATTAAAGATTATATTTGGGGAAGATGCTAAATGATTATGTTTTTTTTATTTATCCCGTATCGGTTAAATCCAACGTTTAATTCATAACAATCTTTTCAGTTCCTTTTACTTTGTATTAATTTTATCCCTTTATCTTATTCCTCATCTCATTCCTCCATTTTTCTTTATTTTCTTATCTTCTTTGTGACTTTTTGACGTAAATACGTCTATATTTTAGGGTCAGTGTCATTCGGCAAAAAGTGGAACGAAAAAGTGTAACAATGGTTTATCAACAAATAAAGAACAATGGTTACCTGGGAAACTTCATCTGTTTATCAACAGATCGACAATAATGGTTACCTAAGGAACATCTGTTTACTCGGCATTGTTGTTACCTATAAAACATTACATTACATTACCTTACCTTACCTTACATTACTTTACATTACATTCAGCTACCACAGACCCATCTTAAGCGTAACTAATTCAAGTTAAATGAGCAATGTCTTAATCAAACTTATCTCAATTGTAAAGCATGTATAAAGGAAATATTTAGAATAAAGCCAATATATAAACTTCCTTTCCGTATAGACGTATTTACGTCAAATTCTCCGGAACCGTGGTTCCACTGACAACTTTTTCTCTTCTTCTCTTTCCAGCATGGACATACGTAAAGATTTTTGACCAAATGTTTACTGGGATTCAATCTAGTATCGAGGTCAAGAATGCGTGGCGTTATAACTCCATTTTCCCATACGTCTATATGGCGTGATGCTTGCTTACAGCACGTGGGGCAAATTTACGTCACCATATACCATTAATTGGTTGAATATGTTTATACTAAATTAATATTATTATTTCTAAAGATAATTACGAAGATCTTGATTTGTTCGTAGCCCCGTGTGTATGCGGTGTGTGTATGTTGCTGAAAATAAACCGGGGATTATGTGTGTTATTAGGCTTTTCGGTGTTCTGTTTTTCGGAAAAACTGTAATCGAAACGCTGTCAATCTAAATTGTTATCGATAATTAGTGGTAAACTACAGTTAATTTCTTAATGGGGTTTGATATTACTCTGTTAATTTGTTACTGGGTTTTGCTGTTAGTCTGTTATTCGAAAGAAATCCCTAATTATCCGAGCTAGATCCATTACTAATTACATTGGACTAGATAAATTAAGTTCCCGATTAATCGAACAAATCGATAATCTAAGATTATGTATTTGTATAGAGTTGCATAATTACTCCAGATAGACGAAAATACAGTTAATTTATTATTATTGATCCCATTATGATTAGATTAAGCGAACATATCCGTAATCCAACAGGGTTTACCACCAATTAGCGACGAAAATCCAAGTTACACTCTGCTGTTAGTCCGTTAACTAGTCTGCTGATTTTGTACTATCAGAGGGAGAAGCAAAGGTGAAAGTCACGTGACGACATGGCGAGAAACATGTGCGCTTCGTTTCCCCTCCCTCCGACTGCTTGGCGAGTTGTGTATGGCTGCTGACAGTTCACGAATCTTATTTCGTGTTCTTAGTCATTCTTCGTCAGAAAACTGAACCAACGATCCGGACTGGGTCCTACTGTGTATGTGTGAAAATTTCTGGTTTCTAATTTCGAATGATTTTTTTTTACAGCGATTTATCTTGTAATCAACAATTACAGACTCAACTATAGAAGGTTTCCGTTAGTAACTACAGAGAGACAAAGCCTGTAGTTTAACCTTCTCAGTTTCTGTCGATGTAAATGAGACACTGAAAGTGACCTTTTTAATTAACTGCATGGAGTAGACTAATTATCGAGAAGCTAACAGTCGGTGTCTGATATTTAAACCTGTCCACGTAATAAGACAAGACAAATGCCGATCTAGATAATCTTATCTTAGAATAAAGAGTCTTATTAAATACGCTGTTTAATAAAACGAACCGATAAATATGCAGAATGCGTGTTAAAGCAAAGTGTGTTCGTTTTTGTCTAATCAAGTTTCTCTCTGTCTAGATCCACAGATAAGTTAAAGATACAGATTTAAGTATTTGAACACACTGCAATCTCTTAAGAGGAACATGCAAAGAAAACTAATTACTTTATACGGAGTCCTTATAAATGTATGACATTTGAGGTTTCTGTGGTAGTGAAGAAGTCGATGTTAAGTCTTCTGGGTTGTAACTTTGTATGGTCCTGTAGGCAGGGATTTTGCTAAACGGTATCACTGTAGTGTCACGTCTGCATAAAGAACTAGCATGCTGGCACGTGTGTAGATGGCAGCAAGATCGAATCAGACTCAAGGTTAAATATTTTATTGTGTCTGCTTACAACTCCACGCGGCGTAACAACTCAGAAGACCTTTATCGACAATGTAAGAGTATTTTATTATTTTTAGATGGATGACAAGGGTTTAAAAACACAAATGTGGAAATTATAATGGTTATTTACATGCAGAATTTAGAGAGTGTGTTATAGGATTGTTATATGTCTGCTTTATCGCATGTCATATATGGTTCGCGTGACTATTATTTTTCAGGTGTTAATTCTGTATTAATTATTTTATAAGGAAATTAAATGTTTTCGGACTTTTACCAACATTCGGGATTTTACGGTAACATGTTTAAAACAATGTCGTTAATGAATTCAAGGTCACGAGTTTGTAACGTTATAGTAAACAATATTGACAATTTATTCCGTTAATTTTATTTCTAAAATTATCCTTCGCATTTATTTAGTATAGGCGCCATGAGGGAGGGGTAGTGTTTGATTAAAAACATTCCCCAGTCGCTCACATGGGGATTTTAACCTCATCTTTCTACCCCCCGCTGTAATCAAGGTGGGCCACGTCGTAACAATTGACTGTCCACACCCCCAACTCAACAAAACTATGGACAATAGAATCCAATATGCCTCGAAGCACTCCTCATCCATCAACTCTTTTATTGCTTATATACCCTCTCTCTCTTTCTCTCTCTCTCTCTCTCTCTTTGTTGTAATCTTCTTCACACGATATCCACTATGAAAGGGTGGATTATAACACAATCAGGATGAATGTTTCCTTAATTAGATTGGTAAAAATCTGTTCTTTAACGATGGCTGTCTCTGGTCGAGTGTTAGAATTCACGCTAAATAGACATGCATGTTTTTGATCGCAGCCAATCATTCTGTCCGTTTCGATCAGTTTCTACATTTTGATTTTTCTAACGCGAGGTCCATTCCCCAAAAAGATTATAAAGTCGAAATAATACCCAGTAGGTTACGTACAATGTGATTCCACAAAAGTTACTTGGTAGTTGACCTTTCACTTTTTCATAACGCCGAGTTTGAAGATGGCTTTCTTCTGGAGTCTGGTAGAAGTTTACCGACGTTTCAGAGATACTGCATCTATCATTAGGGCGATGATGGAGGCAACAAGCACCTCCGAAACGTCGCTACATCACAGAACACATTCGTTTTAACGTTATTTGCTGTACACCGTTTCGCCTGACCTAGTGGACACAAGAGTTCTTATTGAGTACGTGATGTCTCAGTTCCTCTGGGTATTTCCCGTCTTATATGAACCGTCATTGGATATTTTCCTGATTCATTTGAACCCATTTAAAACCTCATGCCGTAGTAGAATTTGTCATCGTTTGGACGTGTGAAAATAAATCGTGGTTTTATAACACTTTACAGCTAGTCTCTGTGTGTTTGAAAAATTTAAGATTTTTTATAGTATGTTTTACATCCTGTTCATTAAGTAATCGATACTTTTGTGACGTACTGTAGTTTAGTTACAAATCCTGCCTCCTCGGTCTGCGACGTTATACGATGATATGTCATTGATGGCTGTACGGTGCTCCTATAGAGCTGCAGTCCCGCACGTAACAAACTCGGCTATGCTGTATCTTTTCTACCAAGTAGTTCTCGTGATTTGCCATTCTAACTTGATCCCACCATATTTGCCGACAGAATCCAAACTCCTCCAATAGCCTCACTTACTCACCCCAGCTCTGTTTCTAAAGGAATAAAAGTCTTACATTTGTAGACTCCATAAGCTTGGCGTTGTAGTGCTATTAGAGGACACGTCTGTTTGCACCATGTATGCAATGTCTTTTTCTTCTTCTTATTCTTCTTCTTCTTCTGAGAGAAAAGTAGAGTAGGAACTTTCAGACGTTCTTGGGGCGATATTCATATAAATACACGAAAAGTGACGCTGTTTCGAGCTACACAGTAAAGTTATGGATTCAAATTATTGCATACTTTGGAGTGGCAAATAGAACTTATTTTATATTATAGAAGTTTTAATTTTTAAATATTCAAACAGCGAATTGGACGGACGGACGGACAAACAGGCGTGGTTGGTTGTATATGCGTTAATTAATATAAATATTTGCAAACAGCGAATAAAAATGTAAATAGGTATGTAATACATATATATTATATATAATATAAGAAAAACAATAGATTATTTGAACGCTGAATTTACTATTGTGATTTTTTTTATTTATTGTTCTAGGATGCGAAGAATCTGACACGAAAACACTGGATTGAGATTTATCAGGGCGGCAGAATTAAGGGTAAGTGTATCTTACACACATGTTTTCTGCATGGTATCCTTCTACATCTATATGTATGTTATCGATTACACATAAAATTCCCTTTCACAATTTTATTTAATTATATTGTACGGTTTTTTCTTTATTGTTGTCCGAATTTTTTAGGCGTTCGTTCTATAATTTTAACTGTAATGAGATAAACGTTAGAAAAAGGATGAGTTTATAGATTAGAGTGACGAATTGTATTAATAAGCAGCCGAAACTTTATTCCCTCAAATTTCATCATTATAATACCAATCATCATTATAATCTACGTAATCTATGTAGTAGGAAACTGTTGGTTGTTGGTTATTCTTCCAGCAGATTTGTTAAAACCTTGATATATATAATCACATTTTATATTGCGAGAAATTTAATTGAATTATATTATTTAATTTAACTAGTATATATTGATTTTAATACTTTTCTTATTCAAAATTTGTTGATTTTAATGTTTATATGCTGCTTTGAGGAAACAATGTACTGAAAAGATTTATTCATTCAAAGCGTCGTTAAATAAACCATAAACAAATGAAGATTCACGTAAACTAAGAGAATAAACTATCTCTTTGTGTTATATTTCAGAATTGAATCACAGCTACTTCTTTCGGAATTTATAGAATACCAAATTTTTGAATGTTTTGTTGGAAATACTTGGAGCTGTAGGTATATTTTCATTATCGAATTATACACAAGAATTACCTACCAAAATTTTATCTTCGCAGTTCACCTAGTATTACCTCCTTTCCAGTAGTTCGCAACGAGTCCATGTTTTGATTGCTCAAGACGTATTTGAATGCGATAGTCGTGTTGTGATATTTACACCTACTTTAATGAAAGTCGAGTTAAGACTTTATAACATACACCTGATGACGGCTCTATGAAAGCCGAAACATGTCGAGAATGTTCCATATGTAAATCGAGTACTCGATACGGAACAAAAGATAATATTTTAACCATTTAATTATCTTATATTACTTTATTGTGATTGACGGACAATTTTAATATATTTTAATACTATTTTTAAATAAAATCACAATATGACGCACCTACAATATCTTAGAAAGTCGAGTATTTGTACCTAAGAAGAATAAAGTGATAGGAGGATTAAGAATTATATACTTGGTATATAATCTTCACCGGATATTAATTGTAGTATCAGATAGATGGACATGTAACACACATGTAGTAGATGGGAAACTTGTAAAACATTTTGGTTGGTAGGCCTGAGGTAGAGAAATACTAAAATACATCTTAGAGGAATGGGGCTAAGATTGTGGATTGGATTTATCTGGCTAGCTCTTATGAACACGTTAATGAACCGATTCCATAATTTTTTTTTTTTTTTTGCTGAGCTTACGATCTGAGTTTCATGGAGGTAGTTAATCTGAAAACTATCTAATACGTATATCGTACTGTAAAATTCCCACCATCGGAAAAATGTTATACCTGGATGCATGCCTGTGTTTAATATGTCACCATGACATTCAGTTTCAACGGAAATCGACTCGGAATAAATTATCACCCATCATCACAGTGACTTGTAGGAAGTTAATGTAATCATGAAATTATAAATAGCACACACAGTATCTTGCTTCGTCGGTTTGCTGACATAATAAACATATTTCACTTATCGACCACGATAAAAGCAGGAAATTGTCTCAAAACATCTGCTCCTGTTTCCTTGACATGTTTGTGCAGTGAGATGAGTCATAACTAAATTAATAATCATAACATTTAGTGTTAATCTTCTGTATGTAACGTCTTTCCGTAGCACAGATTTCACTTGACACTAAATCTGCAACGTATAACTTCAAATTTTAGTTTCAGTACCACATTTGTAAATTTTAATACAAAATATTTCATACAATTTATTACGTATCCACCTCAAGCATGTTCAGTTCCAATTGCAACTTAATTGACATCAGACCAGGTAGGAATTTATCGACGTTTCAGTTGGACTTCCTCTGATGATAGAGGCAGCACATGCCTCTAAACCTTCTACCAGACTACACGGAGCTACAACCCAGAAGACAGCTACGTGGGTTTATCATATTCTGTTCACCATATATTTGTTATTTATCATTTATGACTCTAAATACTTCTTGAATCCTACTGAAACTTTAAAGGGTTTACTGGCAATTATTGTATAATATTTATACTTTTTTTTTTACTTTCCACGCTGTGAACTCTGAAGTCCCCGAAATTAAGTTACGAGCTGTCTCTGCCTGTCCTTACCTAACCTGCTGGCATGTGTAACGTCCTTTCGTGAGAATGTAACATTAATCATCCCTCTACTTCAAGCGTTACGAACATTTTAGTTACACTGTATCATTTGATCCATTTTACTTAACATGTTAAGTAATTCCATTGAACAGAGTCCTTCTTGAGACTTTAATAGTACTTAAATAGTCCACAAATCCTCCATCTGCTATTCTTATTTTCAGTTGAGTGACTTCCCACATTATCACACCAATTATAATATTAAAAAAATGGTGTTCAGAACGAAATCTCTGAAGTGTTAACACATTAACAAATATTTTTCTGCTTTGTATAGAAATGCGTATACATACAAAGGCAAAGGATAGAATAAAATTTTGTTTCAGAGAATTGTTTGTACAAAGCAATATATAAAAATTAAAATTAATTTAAACTGTTTAACAAAACACTAATATCACTACTTGTGTATACTTAATTAAGGAATATAGTACGATCGCAATTATTCTTATCTCAAATGTGATCTTATATCGAGGTTAAAATAACTGTACATAACAGGTATCCCTTAACAGCATTACCATGGTAACGGTTATATTATTATCCTTAAAGTGAAAAATCTCTCAACAAAAACAGTTTATCATACCATCGTAATGGTTATAATAATAAACACACTTACGTAAGGCCCAAAATTCCTTAACAGGAAATGATTACCAGTTATCCATTAAGGATTACTATAGATTCCCTAACCTAAGAGTGAGTTTTCCAAGTTATGATAAATGTTGCATACATTATAATGTCATCCAGTGCATTCTAAATGTCCATCCCATATCATCCTCCTTGATTTGGCTACCCTAATAGTACTTGAAAATTACAAAGCTCACTTTGAAATGCTTTCCATCCATAAAACTGACTCGTTAGTTTGTTATTCAGTTATTTAACGTGTAGAGGGCGAAAAACGAACACGAAACAAGAATTCTCTGTGATTCCAACACACTCAGAATAGGTAAGCAAGCTTTGTCAAGTTTTATACACGTCATCCTATATCTCTGCAGTATAAGACATTCTGTTTCCGATTGTAATGTATTCTGAGCAGGCATTGTACACACATAACGCCGAAGGCGGGAGGGAGAGAGAGATTTAGGCTGACTAAGGCTTTTAGATTTGACGCCGTTAAAACCTCGTTGAGTATAGAAAAGCTGTTTGCTGCAGCTCCGTGCTTCCAGAGAAGACGAAATGGCAATACATTAAATTGTAACCTGTCGTGGCATATTAGTGCAATTTATAGTGTCTCAAGGTAGAGGGTGAAAGTAGGGGAGTCTGAACTGACTTAGTAGCTATAATCTTAGCTTTTCTTTCGAAATATTCCACAGAACAGATTCTTTCTTTGGAGACTGACGTTGACACATACATTTACCGCATTGTACGAAACTGGATTTTTTATTAACCACCTTTCTAAGATCCATCTTGATATTATCCTCCTATCTCCTTCTTGGTCTACCCAGTGATCGTTTTCCGGAAGGGAGGTATTGTCGGTGTTGGACGTGTTGGTTCAGATGGTTAGTTAGTTAGTTAGTTAGTTAGTTAGTTAGTTTAGAATGTTTATTACGTGTTCACAAGACAATTTTTAGGATCCTATTTAAGATTCATTTTAATATTATCTTTCCACATGTGCCTAGGTCTCCCAAGTAGTCTCTCCTCTTCAGATTCTTCTATTAAACGTTGTATCATATTTTTTTCTTTCTCATGTGTGTTATACGCTTTGCCCGTCTCATCTTCTTTGATTTTAAAACCATAATTTTTGGAAAAGTGCAAAGAACGAAAAAATTAGAAACTAACAAGTAAAATTTTATAACTGAACTTATTGAGCAAAGTGTAACAATGAGTTGAGAGGTTATTATAAACACGTTAATAAACCTTAGATTTTTTGACTAGCTGAACAAATGTCACGTTTTGAAAAAAAAGTCTGTTCCATGGATTTTTCCTGTACGTGTCGTCAAATAGGATAATTTGTAAATTATAAATTGTAGAGAAAATGGGAGGAAATTGTAGTGGCCTGTTCGAATGTACAGTCTCCTCATTCATTTTTAGGACATAGGGAATTCACTAAAATTTCGGTTCTGCATAGCCGATTTTCATGTCGAGATTTGAAACCGGTACCTGCTGAATATAAAGCTGTATTGCTGACAAATTTACTGTGGCGTGCACTGTTAAAATGTGAAATATTTTGTTTGTTATTAATCTTATAGATGTTAAATATATTTTGCTTCCCAGGATATATTTGGTTATTAACCTTATTAAATAAATGTCTTTAATTCCTCCACGGATTTTCCTATAGTATGTGACACTGGCAAAGTTAATATTTTAAGTTAATATGACTGGTTACCTTCTCACTACATCGATCGACGTAAGCTTTTTATTAGTATATGACAGAGTTTCTATAACCACACAAAAATTTCCCATGGGTGGGATTTAAATTTTGAACCGTTACACCACTTCCCATAACCTAAAATGAAATTCCATCAGTGTACCAATTATTGAATCACAGTAACCACTTTTATGGGTTTGTGGGATGTATATACATATAATCGAATGCACAGACATCGTTTCTTCTCAGTTCCTGCCTCTGATTCCTGTTTGTCACAGCACGAATCTGTTACGTCACGGGGTTCACAGTTGTGTGAACATGGTCTGGTAACTGAATTATGAAAGAGGGTTATTTATACAGAGTCTATTGTTTGAAGTTTTAACGGCCATGTTAATATAGA